TAATTCGGAAGAGGCTTACTAGTTTTATACCCCATTATACACCACTTTTGACTTGACACCAAATGGCCTCCCTTTACCCTTCAAGTCACCACAAATGATGAGAAGTGTCATACAACTTATTTCTTTAAATTGTCCCTATTGGAATCTCACTGAGGGGGCAGATCACTTCTTTGTGGTTGCTAAAAAATAAACCATCCAAATTAAAGGATATTTTCATATTTGTCATTGTTAAAAAATTGTTTTTGCCACGCTGGATAAGTAATTTGCAACATCAATTAACATTCAACGTCGTTCCTACCAACTTAACGGATAGGACTGAAGTCATACAATTTTCATAACATGAGAATCCAATGTCTTCATTTTTAAAACCAAATACTAATCAGAAATTTACCTCTTAACACGGGGATGAATTAAGCATTTAAGCCAAATATTTATTTTTTTGAGTTTGTCATAATGTAAAAAAATAAAAAATAAAATTAAATAACTAATAAAGCAGCACATATTATATCATAGTCCTTTTGTCACTAACTAAGTCTGTCTATTTCTATATATATAATATTACAATATATAATTTAATATCCACTATTTTATATATACAAGAATATGATGAATTTCGCTGGTATATAGTAGAGAACACCTAGTGCCACAACTGGGAATCTTAAAATGAAGAACCCACTTATCTTCCTCATATTCCTACTTCTCACCCAATCCCTTCTCGCCACGTCATCACCGTTAAACCTGATCCCAATCAACCTCTCCGTCGCCGACTTCGGCGCCACCGGCGACGGTAGCTGCTACGATACCGAACCGATCCAGTCGGCCATCAACTCCTGTCCGGAGGGCGGTCCCTGCCACGTCATCTTCCCGGCGCCGGGAAAGTACCTTACGGCCACCGTGTTCCTGAAATCCGGCGTGGTGCTGGTTGTGGAGCCTGGTGCTACCATCCTGGGCGGCGCCAGGCTTGAGGACTACCCGAAGGAGTTCTGGCGGTGGTACGTGGTGGTGGCGGAGAACGCGACGAACGTGGGAATCCGCGGCGGCGGAGTGGTGGACGGTCAGGCTAGGAAGTTCGTAGTGAGGGAAGATCCGAGGAAGAACGTGATGGTTAGTTGGAACCAAACTGGGGCTTGCTTGGGAGACGAATGCAGACCTAGACTCATTGGATTTATTGGTTGCAACAATGTTGAAGTTTCTAACATCACTCTCAACCATCCTGCTTATTGGTGGTGAGTATTACTATCTCTTTTGTTCAATGCTCACTTTTTATCATTTTAAAATATACTTATTGGTTGAAATTTTTATCTTCAATTTTGAAGGAATTATTCTTTTTTTATTTTTGTTGAACTCTAAACCCAATATTTCATTTAAGCTGTAATAACAAAATGTTATAGTTAATAAAAATATAAAAAAAAAATATATATATATATATAGATAAAATTAAGGATTCAATTAAAATTACTGTATTTATGCTTTCAATTTTTCTTTGTATGTTTGAACCTTGTTAAGCATGAGATTAGAGTATTATGTAAAAGAAAAGACCATTAAGGATAACTCACTATGGTGTATATAATAAGGAAAATGACACTTGAACAACCATTTTTGACAACATTTAGACACGCGCACACGTGTCTAAATTTGAGTGGTCCATTTTCATTTAATTTTTCCAACTGGACCACTCAAATTTAGACACGTGTGCGCGTGTCTAAATGTTGTCAAAAATGGTTGTTCAAGTATCATTTTCCATATAATAAGGGTCGGAAGGATCAAGACAAGGATCGGACATTTGGACGATGCGAGAATTGTTACTGATGGAAGACATATTTACATAGGGATAAGCTCATATCTAAAATCATTTTAATAATTAAGCTCAACTCAACTCTACAAAATTAATAAAATTAATTAGTAGAATGAGATTTGTCTTTTGTAGAATGAAATTTGTCCTCGCATGTATACTGTCAATTATCCTTTCTTTCATTATGTAAAGAAAGAATTAAAGTACTGGGTCCCATTTTCTACACAGGTTTGTTTTTATTTGACCATAAAAAATGCAATTAGATTAGTCATATTATGCTAAACTTTTAAATGCGGAAGGAATGAAAAAGGTAGAATGGGCTATATGATATTTCTTTTTCCAACGGTTGAACTGAAATCATAATTTTATCAGAGCGGAAGGTTGATCTAATGTGACACCTCTGGGTGAAAAAAGGGCTTTATTCTCTACTATTTTTTCCATGAATTATTTGAAAAAATAGTTTTCCATGATTATTCTTCTCTCTGTTGTCCTCATTTAAAATTTTCCAAGTAATGCTTGTTTTAGTTTTCTAACTCCTGCTTCAATGTGTAACATTTCACTCTGTAAAATTTACTCTGTTACATAAATAAAGTACATTCCACAGGTCTACCTAACAGACTATATACTAACTTGCAGCTTACACTTGGTCCGGAGTAATAACATATCCATTAAAGATATTGCAATTAATGGGGACTTTAACATACCAAACAATGACGGGATTGACATTGAGGACTCAAACAACACAGTAATCACTCGATGCCACATCGATACCGGGGATGATGCAATCTGTCCAAAGACATACACATGTCCTGTTTACAACCTTACAGTCACCGATAGTTGGATTCGATCCAAATCTTCTGCAATTAAACTTGGCAGTGCTAGTTGGTTTGATTTCAAGCATTTTGTGTTTGATAATATCACTATTGTTGATTCTCATAGAGGGATTGGATTCCAGATCCGTGATGGAGGTAACATGTTTCTTCTCACTTATCTCCCCATGAATGATTACATCACAAACTATTTCTTGTTTATGTGATTTTTTTTTTGTTACCTAAGAATATTGAATCTAAAGCATGTATCTAAAATATTAACCTGGTTCATTATGAAACAAAAATTTGTAACTGAATATAAATATATCTCTTCAACCATATTCTTCATTTGTAATTGAACATTTTAGGAATGATAATGACACGTTCTTTTGATATACTTTTTTTCACATATTTTCTGTTGTTGATTGTAATTTGTGTCCCAAGTCCTATTTATTGTTCCCTACTCTTTTCAACAGTTTTATGTCTTGTGTTTTGGCTTAGTAGGCCTCACTTTTATTGAGCCTTATTAGTCAGTAAGCCTTTTATTCTTGCTTGCATCAATAAAACTCTAGCCTTAAAACATATGTTTGAAATGCTTTCAACTTCCTCGTACAGGAAATGCAAGTGACATTGTATTCTCAAACATTAATATCAGCACAAGATATTATGACCCGTTATGGTGGGGTAGAGCAGAGCCTATCTATGTAACGAGTTGTCCCCGAGACTCAACCTCAAAGGAGGCTTCAATATCTGATGTACATTTCGTTAACATCACTGCAAATTCTGAAAATGGAATCTTCCTCTCTGGTTCAAAGAGAGGATTGCTTAGAAACTTGAGATTCATCAACATGGACATTACATACAGAAGGTTCACCAATTATTCTGGTGGGTTATTGGACTATAGGCCAGGATGCCAAGAGTTAGTTAAACACAGGACTGCGGGCATAATGATGGAGCACATTGAAGGGCTTGAGATTAAAAATGTTGAAATGAGATGGTCAAACAATCAACTAGAGCAGTGGAATAATCCTTTGGAGTTCAGACCGTCTACTGTAAATAATATATCTTTCCTTAATTTTAGTTCTGGTTTGTATACAGATAACAAATTAAATTATTAACTTGGGTTCTGCGAAGAGACAACGTGCAAAGCACATAGGTTGTTTAACCTTCATGGGAATGGGGGAGAAGTTCAAAAGGAAGGAGTATTTACTTTGTGCATTAGAAGATATTGAAGTGAGAGAAATCATTTGTTAATCCTTGATGTAGTGCTTCATTTTCTGCATCTGTAATATGAATATGCCATTAATCTGTAAAATTGATAGAGTTCAATTGAAATTTGGATTTGATTTCATCGAGAATTAAAGTTACATATTCTTTTGTCAATATTTGTAGTAAAAAAGAAACACTTCTCCCGAAAGGTAGGACATTTTTTATTTCACTATCAGATACTTTGGATCAAATATTAAACTTTCAATTGTCTATTTTTAGGTATTCTTCTGACCTATATGTAGCCTTATTGTCATCCTAAGGAGAAAAAACTCATAGAAAGACAACAAATTGAAGGCTTCACTACAACGGGTCCTCTACATTATTGGCTGGAACATAACGAGAAACACTCCAAAAAATGTGAGGTAGATCTTTGGACTTTGTAAAACCTTATGTTGAATATGGAGGATCTCATAAGAAAATTGAGGAAGCAAGTTAGCACACAACCTTTCAATGTGTTTAAGAGGAGTAAGGCTGTGTTCCTTTGAAGGGATTTCACTGTTTACGGAGATTGGCGAGGATGGATTTGTAAAAGTAGGTTTGTTCTCTTCGCATGATTTGCGCCGATTTGCAACGACGGAAGAGCGAGGATTTGTGAATAAACACTGTTGAATTCATCTCGCCAAAACTGCAACTATTTGTGCTGATTTAGGGGACAAAGACTTATATGCGCCCGATAACTTGAAGTACGAACATTGTTCTTCCATACCTCTTTCGAAATATATTAACGAGGTTATTTTGTTACAGGTAGAAGCTGTGTCATTTACTTGAAGAGGAAGAGAGTTGGAGGAGCAAGAAGGTTGTTGTTGATGATGAGGAAGCCGATGAAGATGAGAAATGAAGGAAGGAGCAGTGGTTGAAGAAGTGATGGAAGAAGCCAGGTATTCGGTTCGAAGAAGAGGGTATCCGGTTAAAAGTGTTGTTGAGTCGCACGTAATCGGTTACAACGATGGCGTAACATTGTAGAAGACGGAGGCGTATTCAGTTACACATGCCGTAACCGGTTCAAGCTTCAATGGTGAGATCCAATGGAGGCGTATTCAGTTAGACAATGTGGTATCCAGTTTGAGCTCGTCCAAGTTATCGGATCACCGAACACTCTCAACCAGAAAATCCCCGAAACAATCTGAACCATGTCGTGGCAAACTTACGTCGACGACCACCTTCTCTGCGAGATTGAAGGAAACCACCTAAGTCACGCCACTATCATCGGCCAGGACGGCAGCGTTTGGGCTCAGAGCTCCGGCTTTCCTCAGGTTTTTGTTTCCATCTTCGCTTATTCTTTTCCCAATTTAATCGCCTCCTTTCGCTGTTTATTCTTAATTCTTTACTCAAGTCTCTAGATTCTCCGATCTCTGCTCAATGCCTTCACTTATAAATCAAGCCAAGATTCCAGAACGATCGTCTTGCAATACAGTTCAAATTTAAGGGCATGTTTGTCAATATGCTAAACCTGATCCGCAATGGAAACCAATCCGAATTGACTTGGACTGCACTTAGTAGTTTTGAGCTGTTGAATACAACAACTGTGTTTTAATCTGATGTTGTCAGTTTGATGCGTGCTTGCTTGATTGATTATCTTATTATATGTGTCTCATGCTCTTATGAACTCCACTGTTAACGGATCTGCTTTTGTTTTTGTTGATCTGTTTTAATTGGTGATTTAATAACATGTGGGTTTTTGTTTATTTAGTTAAAACCTGAAGAAGTATCTGGGATTATGAATGACTTTAATGAGTCTGGAACACTTGCTCCCACTGGATTGTATATTGGTGGCACTAAATTAATTTTACTACATTAGAATTTTTATAATTTTTAAACATTAATTTTATTACATTAATTTTCTCTTTATAAACATTTTTACAAATAAATATAACACTAATAAATAACATTTTATATTACTTTTATAACTAGGAACATTTTGGTAATCTTTAATTTCTACCAATTAAACTAATTTTTAAAATCTATCACATCAATCAAATCCTACACTAATTCTCACAAACTTTACTTCCAAATCCACTCTCAATTACCCACAAATCCACTCAAAAAAACAACTAAAAAATTACCCTCAAATCCACTCAAATCCATTCAAATCATTTCTCCCAAATCATCTCCCCCAAATACACACAAAAGAACACACCTTACAGTATAACTCTAACAATTTTAAGTATTTTTTTTAATTGTAGGTAGAAGTTATGTTTGTAAACATCATCTTAAGATTAAAAAGATGCGTAGAACGTAGAAATCAATCCGATTCTTAATTAGGAGAAAAAAAAAAGTCATTTTATGGCCAAAGAAAGTATTATCTTTGGATATAAAATATCTGAAAAAAACATCGAAGCTGATATAGCATAAAAAGTGGACATCATAACAAAATTGCCTCCTCTAATAAATGTCAAAAGAACTAGGAGTTTTTTCAAGGACATGTTGGATTTTACAATCGTTTCATCAACAAATTTTCTCATTTGGTGACGATTGCCTTGATAGTTTTTTTTTTTAAAAAACCAAAAATTACAACCTTGAAATGATGTGTGATACAAGTGAATATGTTGTTAAATTTAGGTTTAAACCCCCATATCGTCATCGTATTTGTAGGAGAATCTCAAGTGGGTCCTCGTGTTTTCAACTGTCAAAATTAGGTCCAAATATTTGTAAAAATGAGCCAATTTTGTCCTGTTCGTTAAGTGTTGACACACAATGTTAAAATTTGTTAACGTGGTGCACATTTAAAATGATGATCTATGCTTCTTATATTACGTGGAATTTATTATTTAATTTGTTATTAAGTATTGTATAGATGTTATATGATGTGTAATGTTATATTATTTAATTGTTCAGATTAGGGATTTCTTCATATCTGGAAATTTTTAATAAGCAGGAAGGATCATTGGATGACCAGGTTGGAAAGCTCAAAAGGCCGAAAGCTATGGCGTGTCGCGGCCGAAAAAGATCCCTCGACCAACGACGACGGTGATGGTTGTTAATGGTGGTGAGCGACAACGACGATTCGTTTCGGAGGAGGGACTCTTTTCTCTCTGTTCTTGCTTTGATTCGCGTCGCAAGGGAGATAGGTTCTTCCCTCTTTGCTTTGGTCTTGGCAAGGGTTTGTAGGAAGGGGTTACGTGTTCAGGTGCGACGAAGGCACGGTGACGGCGCAACTTGGCTTTTGCGTTTTGCGGCGAAGGTTTCGTTTGGGATTTTGAGTTTCCTATTCTCGCGTAAGGCTTGCAATTTGGGTGGATGCGTTTGGTTTCCTTTTCTGTAGTTTTTAAAATGCGATTTGGAGTTCTACTGTTAGGACACTGGGGTTGGGTTTTTTCTGAAATTGAATTGGGGATTTTTTCTCGCCTTATCAAAATGTGGGAAATCTCTACCTTGGCTTTCTTGGAGATCCAAGCACTTCCCTGTCATACAAAAAATGATTGATTCCCAACTTAAATGTAACATCTGACAGAGTCCCATGTTTAAATATTTTTTTATCAAACATTTGGATATAATTCAATGCATACATCAAATTATTAGACTTTATAAACAATTTCTATGAATTTTAATAGGTTTTATTAAATTTAAGTTCTTGATAATTTTTTAGTATTTTCATTCTATGCGAGGAGAGGCCTTTATTAAGTTGAGCTTGGGAAGAGATAAGGAAAGAAAAGAAGCCATGGAGAAGTTGAAATAAGCTAGCTACCTCATTTAACAACTTCCACACAGGCTAGTGATGAACTATCTATTTGAATTTTTATGTTGGATAAAAATGCGCTTTTTGCTTACTCTAAAATGGGGTACTGTGTTACCAAGTGAAAAATCTTGAAAGGGTCAATCCAATAAGTTCTGAACGGACAAGAAGGAAAACTCTGCTCTGCCACTAATCTCCTTTGTTATCCATTTTGGCCTTTTTCCTTTTATTCTATGAGTCTATTTTCTTTTATTTATTTTTCTTTAACTTTAGGACATGAGTTTAAGGTAATCACAAAATAAGCCTTTCATCATTTGTGCTGTCACATAATCATGTTCAATTTTTTCAAGATGCCTTCTTTGAATTGAAATTCAAAATTTAAGAGAACACGGATCTCCATTTGAACTGAATCATGTTTCCACACCCAATCTGATGACCCTAGACGAGGATGATCGAAAAAGGTGGATAGAACTCACAAGGCGAGATCTGAATTTCTCAATCCCACCATGTATGAGCACATCTTGAAAACCTTTCATCAAGAGACATGACATGACATTCAAACTTTCAGATCGATCGTCAGAGCATTGTCCTCTTGGAGAGTTTGTCTAAGAAATCCCTCTTTCAACCTTAATTCCTGAAGATGCTAACACAGAAGCATACTATGATCGACTAGGCTCGCAGCGGCTGGGCTCGCTCAAGAGGCGATTGACGGAGGAACGAGAAAGCTTCTCTCTCACGCGCGAAGAGAAGAAGGAGAAGGGAGGACCCGACGCAGTGGCCGACGATGCTTCCGACGGTGAACAGCGATGCTGGCGACGCCTTGGACCGCGACTCACGGTGGCCGGTTGGGTGGAGGCTAAGGCGGACGCCATGAACGGAGGAGATGAGCGCTTCTGGGGTTCCTCTAGTTCCCTTTGGATTCAAGTGGAGGATGCATAGACCAATTGGTCTGGTGAGAGAGGCGAAAAACCCTAATGGGTTTCAGATTGGTAGAATACAACTGATTGTCTTCTCTCCTCTTGGATTCCAATTCCTCTTCTTCCCTGACCAAATCCCTAATTCTCTTTTTCTAATCTTATTTCAGTAAAAATGTTTTGAACAAATCTCTAAATAAACAATTACATTTGGTGCCACCTCAAAGACTCTGTATTTAAATAATAAATTCCATGTAATATATTATTTATACATCAGCATATTATGTATGCACCATGTTAGCTCCTTCTAACGCCGTCTGTGAAAACTTAATGGACAGGGCAAAATTGGCTCAATTTTACAAATATTTGGACCCAATTTTGACAGTTGAAAATACGAGGACCCACTTGAGATTCCCCAACAAATACGAGGACGATCCGAGGGTTTAAACCTTAAATTGTCAGAGCGACTGCAGCGGATTTGTTAGCGTGGGATAACAAACCAAGAGGGTTTTTAATACGAACGTGTGCCTTTTAATTTCTACTCAATTAAACTTACCAAGCAAATAATAAAGACAAATAAAGAGGGTAAGGTTGAGAGAAATTTGTACAAATGATTTTGTGCTGGTTCGGATCTTACCAATCCTACATCCAATCGCTTATCTCAAAACAAGATAAACAGTTCACTACTCATAAAACAATTACAAATTACAATCACAAAGAAACAATTTGTAAAAGTTTAGAAACCACCTCTCTTGTTACCCCAAGAGATGAAAGTCACTTCCCCTGTAACCCACAAGGGATGAACACCTCCTCTGAATTTTTACAAAGGATGAACACCTCCTCCGAATGCTTCACGAAGGATGATAGACTTTTAACTCAACAACAACAACAACACTCAATCACACTCCCTATGAAAGTTCTCGTTCTATGCCAACAACAACAACACTCAATCACACTCCCTGTGAAAGTTCTCGCTCTATGCCAACACGCCAAGTTCTCAAAGCCACAACACAAGGGTTCAACAAACCCTAGAACACTTATCACCGCACACTGCAGANTACATTAGAATTTTTATAATTTTTAAACATTAATTTTACTACATTAATTTTCTCTTTATAAACATTTTTACAAATAAATATAATATTAATAAATAACATTTTATATTACTTTTATAACTAGGGACATTTTGGTAATCTTTAATTTTTACCAATTAGACTAATTTTTAAAATCTATCACATAAATCAAATCTTACGGTAATTCTCACAAACTTTACTTTCAAATCCACTCTCAATTACCCACAAATCCACTAAAAAAAACAACTAAAAAATTATCCTCAAATCCACTCCAATCCATTCAAATCATCTCTCCTAAATTATCTCTTCCAAATACATCCAAAATAACACACCCTTAAAGAGAGAAGGTAAGGAGTCCCCGACGAAGGATTCCTTTTAAGAAGAAAAGTCACTTCGACAAAAAACACAAAAAGTTGCAATAAAGGTTGAAAGCTCAATTATCTTAAATCATACCAAAGGTTAGTTTGTTTTCAAGGATATAATAAGATGTCAATTCTGGTGTTAAAATATTTCGTGCCCAGATATTTGAGAGGATCGAATGATGTTCAATGTGAATTGTTCATTGGGACATTAGCAGACACTTTGGACTAGTTCATTGGCCTCCTTGATGGATCAATCTCAACTTTTGAGGAATTTTTAAAATTATTCATAATCTAGTTTGGACAAACATGACAAAACCATCCAAGACTGGAGATTCGTTTGATATAAAGCAGGGATGAGACAAATATTTGAAGATATGTTTGTGATGTCTTTATGAAGGGCCTCCCTTATTGGTCAATTTGGCTAATCATCAATAGAAAAAGACAAAATGTCTGACAATGATACGATGAGTGACTTCTCACATCAAATTGAGGAAGTCAAAGGCAAGAAACTGTCACATCCACCGAACTAATATCTCCAAAGAAGAAAGTTGTGACAATTTGACAAGTAAAATAACTTTTATATCTGTAAAGAAAAAGAAAAACTGAAAGTAATAAAAAAATAATGTTAAATAAGTGTAAAAAAGTTTTGAAAATCAAAATACTATTGTCCTAAATTCAATGCAATTGTGAAAGCAAGAGCTTGGATACAAAGTTCGGAGGTCAATCATGGTTCATGTTATATTCGACTTTGTAACAGAATTAACATCCTTTTAGGAAAAATATAAATTAAAATTCTCTTCTTTGATTTGATGGTATGTCTGATAAAAATCAACTATTGTTTGGAGCATCAATATTTATTCATTATTGTTACGTAATTATTCATTTAATTAGTTAGAATTTCATTTTTTATGTATTTAATTATGGCTCTAATTAGTTTATAAATTATTGAGTCTATCTAACTTGCTTACTTGGCTCTTGTGTTAAAGGGTAAACCCTAACATAATGAAAAACATACTTATGTATATTGTATAATGAAAAGTACCATTTTGTCAAGGACATTTTTTTAAAGAAGAAACAAGAGTGTTTTATCCTACACTTTCAAGCATTTCATTCTACACCTCCAATTTCCTAAAATACCCCTAATTAATTAGATGATTATTTATTAATTTTATGATTAGTGACTATTTCTCTCTCTACCATTGATTACACCTCCCTTATCCCCTTGTCATCAAACATGCAGCCTGTACCCCCTTTCATTTAGATTAAGAAACTCTACACCCCAGCACAATTACACATATGATCATGTCTATATCTGATTTATATTTAATGTTTTACATAAAATTTTTATTATACTACTTATATAATTATTTTATTAGTTTATAATTTTATTTAAAATTATAAATCAATTTTTATAAATTTATAATTTAATTAGATAATATGTTAAATAATTTTTATGAATCACTTTGATATAAATAATTTTTATGAATGTTTGAGATTTAATATAAATATTTTAGAAAAATTAAAGTACCGAAGATTTGTATCAGATATAAAAATCTGAAGAAACTTTGATCGGATGTCAATATCCGATAGAATAACGATCGGATATGGAGATCCGATTCGTTATGTTTAGTGTGTTTTTCTTTTTATTTTTATTAATGTTTGTTATGAATGTTTTATTTCATGTTCTTTTATTAATATTATTTAACCAGTTAACATTTGGGTCCACTTACTTATATCAAAGTTACCAAAGTTGAGTAGATAAAATTTTTTCTAACTTAATGTTTTCATCTTATTAATTAATTGGTTTAATACCTCTTTTGGTCCCTAGAAAGGGGGCCAAAGTTCAATGTGGTCCCACCTTTTTTTAGAAGTTCAATGTGATCCCATCTTTTGTAAAAAGTGTGCAATCAAGTCCTTTTTGCAAACGGCGTGAAGTTTTTAACGGAGCA